GAAGGCTGGTCAGAAATCGAAACAAGGTTTGATGAATTGGCTGTCGATGGCACTCTTCCTAAGTTGCGGTTTGCTCAATGTATAGGTACGAAATGTTGTCACAACTTGTCACATTGTTTTATATATGCACTACGATAACATTGTTTGAAAGTTGCGAACGGTGTCGTTTGTGATAGGGATGAACGAGTCGAGTGAGTTCGCTGGCGAGTTGTTCGAAGCGTTGGCTCGTCGGAGAGGCATAACAGCAGGTTGTGTGAGCAAGGATGAGTTGAGAGAATTTTGGGAGCAGATTTCAGATATCAGCTTTGATGCCAGGCTACAAACCTTCTTTGACATGTGAGGCTTACTTCATTATTCACTGTGTCTATCCCTTTGATTTAGGGCAAAAAAAGATTTTGTTAGCCTAGCCATTTTGTGTCACGGGCAACACAATTACTGCCACAGCTAGCTGATCATGTGCCGACAGAGCCCATATGAGATGATGACGACGTGTTCATAATATCAATCATTCTGCTTAAATATAATTTAATACAGGGCATTTAGATAAGAGTAAGGTTGAAAATGACAAATATAATAGATTATCATAAATATAATATATTAGGCATGTAGGAATTCTTTGTTTTTTCCATTGTCTCTAGCTAACACATGCATGGTGGTGAATGAAGGGTGGACAAAGATGCAGACGGTCGAATCACAGAAGAAGAGGTGAAAGAGGTAGAGTTCTTTGGAAATTCAAAAGGTTGACGGTTTTGACTCTATGTTTTGTTTATATTAAAAATGAAACTAAACATTATTATATTTGTTTAATTTCCAGATTATTTCTTTAAGTGCCTGTGCTAATAGGCTGTCACAAATTCAAGAACGAGTTGAGGAATATGCAGCATTGATCATGGAAGAGCTGGACCCAGACAATGTGGGATATATTGAGGTTGACATCTTCTCATTTTCAAGTCTTGAATTTGCTTGCAATTTGGGCTCAGCCTGGTCTGGTCCAAACTCGATTGGGCCAAGTTCATCTTGACTGGCTCATAAGTATTTGGAGTTGTGTGGCCTTATATTCACCAATTTCTCAAACCTAACTACAATTTGGGCCTGAGTTGCAGTTGTACAGTTTGGAAATGCTACTTCTCCAAGACCCAACCCAATCAACGAACCTCGTCACGGACAGTGGTATCCAGAGCCAGTTGCTAAGCCAAAAGCTAGTCCCAACCAAAGAGCACAACCCCATACGGCGGTGGTACAGGAGGCTGGCCTACTTCATGGAGGACAATTGGAAGCGGATTTGGGTCATTTCCCTATGGATTTTGATCTGTTTGGGCCTATTCACTTGGAAATTCATCCAGTATAAGCATCGGGCCGTCTTCGATGTAATGGGCTATTGTGTGTCCATAGCCAAGGGTGGAGCTGAGACCCTCAAGTTCAACATGGCCCTAATTCTTCTACCAGTTTGTAGAAATACAATTACTTGGCTAAGGAGCAAGACCAAGTTAGGGGTTATAGTTCCGTTTGATGACAACATTAACTTTCATAAGGTATCATGCTACAAAATTCAAAATGTGATCAGTAAATATGATATATGTTACTATTTAATTTATGTGATTGCTCTAAAATTGTTTAGGTGATTGCATTTGGGATTATAGTCGGAGTAGGTCTACATGCAGGGTCACATTTGACATGTGACTTCCCTAGGCTACTACACTCGACGGACGACGAATACAACCCAATGAAGCCATTTTTTGGCAACAAAAGGCCGGACGACTATTGGTGGTTCGTGAAGGGCACGGAGGGCTGGACCGGGGTGGTGATGGTGGCACTAATGTTAGTGGCCTACACATTAGCACAACCATGGTTCCGTCGCAATCGGCTCAACCTCCCCAAAACCCTGAAAAGACTAACCGGGTTCAATGCCTTTTGGTACTCACACCACCTATTTGTTATAGTCTACATCCTCTTTATCATCCACGGATACTTTCTTTACCTCTCCAAGAATTGGGACAAAAAAACTGTAAGTGATTCTTAAATTAAATTGTACCATCCTCCACCTCCACTGACCAAGTTAAAGCTAGCACGCGAGAGATTAAATTTGAAGGCTGGTGGTGGCAGGGCTTTGCTTTTTTCTTCTGATTTCATAACCCTTGCTCTGTTCATGAATTGTCACAGACGTGGATGTATTTGGCAGTCCCAATCCTACTCTATGCATGTGAACGCTTAATTCGCGCATTCAGGTCTGGCTATAAGACTGTTAGGATTTTGAAGGTACGAGCCTGTGTGCTGAAAGTTTATCAGCTTCTTTTCCACTTGTGGATGATGCATTTTTCTTTGTCGAGAAGCTAAAGATTTTGGTCAAATCCTTTATTAATTTTCAGGTCGCAGTTTACCCTGGAAATGTTTTGGCTCTGCATATGTCAACACCACAGGGGTTTAAGTACACCAGTGGCCAATATATTTATGTCAATTGCTCAGCTATTTCCCCATTTCAATGGTAATAATT